TTAACGCACCCACTATTTGGTATTTAAATTAGGACTTTTGTGACATGCAGGAGACATGAGTGCGAGCGTGCAGCTTTTGAAATACGCTTGCGATGGACTTTATGTTGTGTATTCATCCAGCAGCGCTGTTAGCTGGGGCTAGAGTTGAGGTTGAAGTAATGCCTAATGGAGCTTCATTTTGTAAGACCGCAAACCAGTCTACAAGAGCTGAAAGTGAAACGTTTTTTCGTGCTGATCCTATTTTTCTTTTTAAAAATGATATTGATCTCTTTAGAAATAGTGAGTTTTAACAATTTAATGTCACAAAATGTCTGTTTTATTCAATTAACGTGATATTGTTCATTGCACGATTTACCTTTTGTTATAAAAAATAGTTACGGTATGTTGTTTTCCTTCCTCCTACTGTACATAAAGGTGTATTGTATGCATGGTTGTGGCCTGAGAAAAAAAAACGGCTGGAAATGCGTCTTTGAAGTCAGCCAATAATGAGGAGTTTCATACAATCTTAACCAATGGAAGATGCCGTTTCATTGACAACCGAATCACCGGGGACTTTGGTTGCAAATCATGCAAATAAACCTGCCTAGCCGGCGCAGCCTACAAGGCCAAGGGCCGGCCAAGGGACGATCGACCACAGACATGATACTTTGATAGACCAGGAGGAGAAAAAGTTTTGACTAAGTGGCTGGAGCAAGATTAGTCTCGTCCTAAATCAGCCAAAATCGCGTGTATTCCGCTGTCCAGTTTGTGCTGGGCTGGTAGTGGTAAGCATGCATTATGCCATGTTGCAATTTTGGGAATTCAGTTAACTTTTGAAATGACGTATTTTGACGGGCAGGGGAGAGGCCTTCAACTTTACATGACTTTAAGTTTAAGGCTTTAAATTCACTGTAGCCTCTGTAGGCCCCAACTAGGGGGGTAGGGATTCGTTCGCCTCGTTCTGCCTCTTCGCCAGAAGAGAAGAGCGATGGCATGAAGACGTATACGTTAGGCGTAGGGCTTAGCGATCCAATCCAAAATTGGTGGGGCCGGGAGTGGGGTTGGCCTACTTCCCAAACGGTAAGGTAATACTCTACGGAATAGGTAGAAGTAAAGTAGGTTAAGTAGGCCGCCTAGCCTAGTCTTTTTTACCATGGAGGTAGGAAAGTTCTCCTACCTCCATGCTAGGCCTATTACCGTTTGGGAAGTGGGAGCGGAGCAGACGTTGGACCCCACAGTTCTGGCATGTCTAGGGGTAGGCCCGACCTACATGACCTAGGCTACTCCTTCGTACCTCCATGGTCATACCACTACCAGTCATGCCAGTATGACGAAGGATTATGCGTGGGCCCTGTTAACAGACAGACGGATCTAGTCTTAAACATGCGTTGGAAAGAGTTCCCACTTTCATATACTGACGCCACTTGACACCCCTGCACAAACGTAAACCCTATCTGCCTATGACTAAGTATGAGATTGGTCATGTTGGTCTGAAAAGTTCTACGTGTTTTCTAAGTAGGCTAAACAACTTGGTTTTTTTCCTCCTAAATTGAACTTTCTGGATAAGTTTTTGCTTTCTAGTAATACATGTAGGTCACCGTGGGGAATAATTACTGCCGTCCGTACATGGAACTCTTCCCTGTGCCTTTAAGACTAGCCCCACTAGTGTGGCACGGACTCTCACTCCCACTCCATCCTTAGCCACACATCCGTATACACAATTTCGTGTCGCCGTACTGAAAATTTTCGGCGCACCCACTTTTCGTGGGCGCAATTTATTTTGCACACGGAGATGATCCTTAGCCTCTCCGCTTTCTTAGCGCCATTTATTGAATGATTTCACTCACGTTGTTCTGGTATTTTCCAGTCTTTTTGCCTTCGCCCATTCAATCTCACGGGCTCGCTGTCACAGTCGCCATCTTTAAAATAAGGTCGTTGAACATTACGTCTTTTGACCCCTCGTCGTCTCGACGATTGTTCCTTGTCAAGACATCTAAACTGCTGCCAAAGTTTTGGAAGAGCCCATTGGTGCGTGTAGTATCTTATCGCTCAGTCCGTGTATTAGATATGTCTTGACAAACCTACTGCCTGGGTCCAAGAAGCTTCCACAGGCTTTTGCTTCCATTAATTCATTTCACTAAAAAAAGATCGTACCCTGAATCAAAATGCTCCATATTCACCTCCAAAATGATTCTTAAACTGTCTTATGCACCTGCCTTAGAATCAAGTGAGAATCAGAGATTCCATTAATGATGATAAGGTTTATTAGAAGAAAAGAGAAATTTCCCCTTCAAATCAGAAACGGTCTTGTTGTCGAGTGCAATGTGGCCATCTTGTTCATATAACGATTTGAACTGTATAGTAATAGTATGTACACGTCATGACGACGTCATGGTATGCCAGCCTCTGGCGGACCAATCACAAAAAGCATGCCGTACCGTGTCGGCACACGCACACCGAGGACTGATTGCTGAGCTCTTTACACTCATGTCCGATGTACAGTTAGGTCTTACTTTTTATTTTAAAATCTTTGGATAGTTTGTTTGTGTTTGCTTGTTTTGTTTGCAGTGATAAAACGCTCTCCTGGTCTGAAGATCGGAGACCAAGTTTTGTTGGTCTGGTCTCCATACTTATACGTGTACATGTTCATGCAGACCTGTAATAGTGTGCAGTTTCCTTGGATGACACTCCTTGCCTTTTTCTCCGTAGTCTCTAGATGCACAATGTCTTCAACTGAAGATGACACTAGTGTGCCCATCCTACCATCAGATTCACCAGGGAGCTCTGTCTCGACAACATTGCAGGTACATGTAAGAGATTGATCAAAACTAGGTGTGTCTTCTGGTTGTAACCTGCACCAATACAGCACTGTAGGCCTTAACTGCAACTCTCAAGTCACCAGCCATCAAGTCTTACGTCGGGTTATAAGTTGTGCAGGAAATTGCCATTGTATATATCCAGTTACTTTTGACAAGAATTGTAGAAATAAGTGATGGACAAAAGTATGGAAGTTTCTGCATTTGAACATGTTATTTTTGTGTGCTCTTACATGGATGCTTGTGCGTACAAGTACGTTGCAATGCATTTAAATTGTTAATTTTCAGGAATACATTGTACAAATTTTGATAAGCATGACAACACATTTCATTTGCCTGTCTTACTGGGCCTGAGGTTGCCTCAGTGGTGGAAAAGCTACCAGTTTCCCTACTACATGCACTTTAATGCGAGTAATGAGTTGTTGGCGGTTAAGGTTTGTGATATGTTGAGGCAGTGCCACAGTGGTCGTGCATTACATGCCATGAGCCTTCTAATGGATTAAAATACATGCTTGTACGTCGTGTTAATATCATGGGGTGTATTGTGAGAATTTGGTTTCAAATTGTCTTCTTCCTCAGGATGAATATCAAGAGTTGCTGAAATATGCAGTAGTTGCTCCAAACTATGACCCTACTAACTTGCCACAGTCTCTGGCTCAAGCCGTCCATGCCTTCTCTAACAGACCTCCAAGAGACGAACTCATCTTTGAAGAGTCTTCTGGTTTGTGTGAAAGATCATTCCCAGGGAGGAATTATTTTGTACAGTATACCATAGGCAGTCGGTGCAGCACATGTAGGCAATGCATGCTTCAGCCATTAAATTTATACAGCTCTGAAAACTCACATCAGACTCGTTCAAGTTCACTGTGTAGAAGTAGACAAAATTATCAGAAAGTGAAATTGATCATTGACATGGAGCCATGATAAAAAGTGAAATACATAAAAATGGAAATTTTTAGGTGAGATCTCAAAAATTAATCAATTGTTTCATGTCAGGTTAGTGGTGTCGTGAGAAAAACGATGAAAATAAAAACCTCCCGTGTGACAAAGCTTTCTAGGAAAATAAAGACGATCGACAATTTAATTCTTTTAGGCGGCCTTACAGTTAAGTTCTCAGTGACATATTGCTTTAGTCCATGAATTTGAATGAGCAAACTGAACTCTTGATGTCCACATATACGTAGTTACCTCAACAACAGACAAGAGCTCCGTAGATGAGGATACATTAAGAGGCAAGGATAGCGTGCAGGCTGTTCTAGGGTCAAGCTCAGAGATTGAATCAGATGACAGATTGGAGCAAGCAGAAAGGGAGAACGATTTCAAAACAGTCCTGCCAGGTACAGTATATGTTATGATATGATGTCAGGAACTAGACTGCCTGATTGATATGCCTGATTGATATTTCACATATTACATTTGATCCAGCCAATACACACATGTACATGGCATTCACCTCACTACACTACACCAAGTTAAGTACCATAATTTAAGGTTTCATCTAGGATTAAAATAGTTGCCTTTTCATTGCAACAAAGTCTTTCAAACTTCCCTTCCACTCTCAGCAAACATTTGTGAAACTGATACCCCTTGGTGCTATCTGAGTCCGTATTTTCTCTTTTACCATATTCACTGAGTGGACATACATGTACAGAAATTTTTTTCACCAGTGTTATTAAAGATTTATAAAAATAATACTCTGTAATAAGGGGTTTGTAAATTTTCTGATCGCAAAAGTTGTCTGTCCTGAATACATGGGCAAGTTTGAGTGGCGACAAATTGTCGAGTAGTGGTCAATTTTGACTGGTAGCCTATGCATGAAATACATACCGGGCATCAGACAAAATCAACAAGTGGTTAACAAATTGTCGCTGATTGAACTCGCCCGCTGTTTGCCTGTCCTCAAGACAGGTGGCCAGATGAGAAACATGTACTTCTTTAATTTGACACATGCATCAAATTGAACATGGAGGAATCATGCTATCTCGGTATTTTTCATTGCAAATTGCATGCACTGGAAATGTTTATCTGGCCTCTTTTATAGATCAGATGACTCCAGTTCGACCCAGTTTGAGTGGTTTGGTTGCCACAGCAACCCCTGAAACGCCAGACACGGATGAATCAAGAGTGACAGATTCAGATCTGTCGACAAGCAGTGTCATGTCTCCATCCATTGACCAGGACTTGGCAAGGATGGGAGCAAACATAGACAACTGGTGTTTGGATCTTAAACGCCATATCCTGGTAAAGAAGAGTTTATGAAGTCAAGAATCCTTTGAAAGACATTAGTATTAAAGAACATGTCAGTTTCATTTGTTGGGGAAAGTTACAGAAAGACAAAAGTAAAGTTAAAAGGTTTGTGGCAACACCATGCAGAAATATCTGTCTCGTTAGTTTGTGTGTTTCTGAAGAGAACCGGAGGGTACTTAACATTTCGGACAGTATGTTCGGCCATCAGGAGACTGCTAACTTGCCGCCTTCATCATGAAAAGCTTCAAAGCTCATCAGAGACAAACTGTTTAGAAGATCTAGAAGTGCTTGTCATATGGGCAGGCATAGAGTTCATTCGGTAGCTTGTCATATGGGCAGGCACAGAGGTCGTTCAGTAGCTTGTCATGTGGGCAGGCATAGAGGTCGTTCGGTAGCCTGTCATGTGGGCAGGCATAGAGGTCGTTCGGTAGCTTGTCATGTGGGCAGGCATAGAGGTCGTTCCGTAGCTTGTCATGTGGGCAGGCATAGAGGTCGTTCGGTAGCTTGTCGTGGGCAGGCATAGAGGTCGTTCGGTAGCTTGTCATGTGGGCAGGCATAGAGGTCATTCGGTAGCTCATTTCCTCAACCAAACTTTCAGTGAATTTGTCCTGCTGTCCTTCCTGAATCCTCCAATATCCAGCACCACAGGAACCAAATGGCGTATAATTTGTCTGTCAGGCGTGCAACTTTTCCTCGGATAAACGGATTTCGTCATTTTTCACCTCACACTCACACCATTGAAAATTGAAAAACACTTTACAAAAGTCTTGTAAAGATTGGAATTTCCTCGTTATTTGTCAAAGCACAAGTTGCATGCCTGTTTATACTTCAAAATTTCAAGAGACATTACTCCCCATGTAAAGTGATTATGGCTTACCTTCCTTAATGGCATGAGGTCCAAATTATTCCTAGCAAAGTTTTGGTTTATATTATATCCTAAGCCCTTAACCCCTTCAAGCGGGGACGCGTTAAGACACGCCGTAAAAATTGAGATCCTCAGCCCGCTTTTCAGCTATTATTCTAGGCCCACGATCAAGCGAACACGGTGAAAGAAGGCAGACCCTGGCTCTTGTGTATGTGGTAATTGGCCTTTGTGTGTAGCCCAGAGA